GATTAATTTCAAATAATGCGTTGAAGAATGTTTTAAGATTCCTTAGCAAATCACCATTCTCCTTCTGTTACACATTGTCTTAAAAGCAGTTTAAGTTACCACACATAAGTGTGGTAACTTAAACTGCTTTTAAGACAATGTTCCGTATCGATAACGATACGGAACCGCATTAAGTCTGTCCGAAAAAATTTTATGTCCATGATATAACAGCGAAACGCGGTACAACTCAGCTTGGTACAAAACTTGTGCCAACCCCTTTAATATCGGCAATGAATCTGCTTTTTGCGTATTTCTGGACGCGTCCGTACGAAACCAGCTCATCGGCGGCATCGATATCCGAACGGCCGCGTATATACCTGAATGGTAGCAATAACGCCCGAATGGTAGCGTTGACGACCGAACAACTCTAAAGACGCGAAGGCCACATTAAGCGCATTACACGCCGGCCTCGCTTCCGTATGTTTGAAAGAATCATGTCTGCATATTACACCCGCGCATGCCTGAAGCTACCTGTCAGGTAGATGGGACTAAAACTCTTATGTTTATAGATCTTTATCATGCAAGGGAGACGTCTGCCTTCAGATCTTTTAATCTTTCACTAGGACTATAACAACTACGATTCAATAAACTTGATCTAACTCAACAGTGTCGTATCCTCGGAAGGGATAATAAGTTCACAAACTGCTATTTTTAAATTACTGTTATAGTTCATATTTAAATGTTGAACATATTTTAACAAAGCGAAATCACAACACACCTTCTCTTCACACTCGTCAGTCACTAATTGATGGACCAAAGGTTGCTCATTTCTTGCGGCGGACATGCGCGCAAACCGCTACATACCAAAGATATGTATATATGTACATATATATAAGTTAAATTAAATCAGTAATGATGCATGATTTTGCAAAAAGAAACAAAATGGGAAATTTTATTTTCAAGCTTATTATTCAAATTTATGACATCTTAACAAAGAAAGTAATAGTTTCTTTCACTTAAGTTTGATTAACTTTCAAAAACTTAATTTTATTTTCATATATATATATTATATATGAAAATAAAATTTTCATATATATATATATATATATATATTTAATGTACGGTAATAATTAGGTGATGTTAAGAAAATGAAATAGTTATGTTCATTAGCGTTTCTCTTTTTTTATTTATACGTTGGTAATAAAGTTATTAAGGCCCGTCACCCGAGAAAAAGCTGGAAAAACTGTTTTGCTAGATCAAATGGTTTAAGTATTTATTATTCAATAACGGTCTTAAAAGAATATACGATACATCAAAGGATATTGTGTAAAGAATGTGCTAATTTTTTACACGATAGGATGTACTTTATCCCGATCATATAAAATCCCGGAAACAGAATAAAATAACAGTCTAAAACGAATTATTTAAGAATAAAATATTTCAGTTCTCAGGTTTTCGCGATAGTTTTATTTCCTATAAAATATTTAACTTTAAGTACTACAGAGAACCTGCTAAATTTTGGTTTTCAACTCAGGTCCCTATAGTTCACATTTGATAGCCGTCTTCACAAAGTGACAAATTCATTTAAGGCGCAATGTACACGCTTCTATAACAAAATTCCGGTTGATATACAAAATTTGCCATTCACGAGGTTTAAAACTATAGTGAAACAAAAACTAAATGTTATTATACAACTTCTGCTTACTTGGATGACAAAAATCCGTCGTAGTAACCCGTTTAGCTCACGGAGGTAGTCTCGATCTCTGATATTTGAAAGCAAAAAAGAAATATATATTGTAAAGATTGAATACGTACAAATGCTACTTACAAAGAGCAACCCCTAGAGTTTCTTGCTCATTCTTCTCAGAGGAATCTGCCTTACGAATGAGGGGTAGAGTTTAACCAATGTGACGATTTCAAGTGTAATAATGCTTACCTATGAAATAAAGATAATTTTAATTTTGATTTTGATTTAGCCCATAACTTGGAAATTGCCCAGCGGTTTAACGACACGCCGCGCCGCTCGCTGCCCCGTCAGTCACCGTCAGGCGCTAGTCAATGTCACATCTAAATCAAATTTTCTCCGCCTGTTCTTATTCTATTCATATTGATTTTCAGCGCGATACGCCAGAGGCGGCCTCCCACATCTCACATTCTAAAACGTGGGCTCGTGTTAAGCCAAAGTGATGTACGATATATTAATAATTATTATTATATTAAATTATGAATTAATAACTATGTTTATTATATTAATAAAAGCTACATTACTATATAGACCACAGCGGTGGAAGGTGTATATTTTGAAAATGATTACCAACTGCAGTATAACACCCTATGTTCCATTGCTCAGAAAGGGTCTTCTCTGATGAGAAATAAATGATATAGATCACAAACTGAATTACTCATCCACGTTCCGATATTACAAATTTGTTATTTAACATTGTAATCTTTACAGTGTTCGATAAAATATCTGCGATAAATACCTCTCTAGACAATTTAGACATTGTTTAGATAAACTTTATCATTTCAATTTTGGCTTATCATTATCAGATAATTTCCCATGTTGTAACCTCTTCCCAAATTGATAATCAGTTCCCGTAACGTATCGTAAATGTTGAAACATGTGATATTCTGATAACTTTTTTGTAGTAGCTATGATATTATTTGTTAAAGCAGTGATAGCCTTGTTGGCAGAATGCTTACTTTCCATATAGGGGAATCTAATAGCAGTAGAGCTTCTTGCGAAAGAGCTCGTCCAGGAAAGTTCTGCCACCTTACCTATTTCTACCGCCAACAGTACTATGAGGTTTACTGCGTACTGATTTTGAAGGGTAAGGGCGCTGGTGAAATTGCAGGCACACTGGACTTGTCAACTTATGTCCCAGGGTGACGGGCGCAATGGCAGTGTGTGTACGTCCAAGATCTTTGCAATTAAAGCTCTGAGTGGCATTGCATCTGCTATGGATAGGCGTGCCGCTTACCACCAGGCGCACGGCTTATTCGTCACGTCACTTGATATCATAAAAAACTCTAAGAACGAGACGTGGCGCGGTTTAGCATCACTAACTGTTTTAGTTTTATATTCAGTCCATGTCACTATTAACTCTTTCTTGAAATACTAAATTGTAAAATGCCTTCGTTGTCTCATTTAAATGCCCGTAGCAAGCAGATACATATATGCTAACTAGCATTATATATACCGCATGAAAGCTATATCAATACCCATGTAACATAGGGTAGCGATGAGAAGAGTTGAATTTTTTTCAACTCGAGTTACTGAAGTTGACTTGTGTGCTGGCTCGAGTTGACTCGACTCGGTGTCTGACAGCAACGGCGAGTAGCTCTCGCGAGTCGCCAGTAGAACTCGAACACCGACGATTCACCGAGTTGGGCACGATCGACTGGCCGGCCGAGTAAGAAGTCGATGCGCTGTATGAATTAACAATTCGGCTCGGCGTGGCTGGGACCGAACCGAGTTAGCTCGAGTTCATATAAAAGTAGCTTGAGTTGACTCGGTGTGAGAGTAACTCGAGTTAATCGAGTTAAATAACTCGACTCGCCCATCGCTAATGTAAGGTATCTAGAATGTATAGTCGTCTAGCGGCCGTATTTGTTTAGGGCTTAACGATTCAGTAGAGAAAAGTAGAGAAATCTGCTTGTCATAAAAAATTCTAACTATTGGAACAACATGGTGAAGTATGAAAAACAAAGAAGACTCGTGTCGTATATATACATATAAGTTGATACAATTGTTTTGTTACAGAACAAGTATAATTGATGTTATGTTATTTGTAGTCGTGTTTATCTATACAGCTGGTTTGAGTGAATCATCGCTAAGGTAACGAAGAAATTTATTTATTGCTAGGTGGAAGTTTTCTTGTCTCGTAATAATGACAATGCTTTATATTAGATACCAAGATAAGCAGTAATGGACCCTTTTGAACTTATAGAATCTATGCATACTCGCATTCTCATGTTATTTGTAAAATATTAATGACCTCTCAGAACCATATTGCTAACATAACAAACAACAACTCTTGTTCTATGACTTAAAATAATTCTTCCCATTTTACTTTCGTAAAAAAAAGTAAATTCCAGTCCGATGCAAAACGCAGGCGAACTTAATTTGTGATTGCCGAAACGATCCTGGAACAGCATCGTCAGCATTAGAGACCTTGAGAGTATACCTTTCAAACAAAAAATTATTTCCAAAATCGACCCATCGAACGGTAAATCGTCTATAAAACACATAAACACGTACACAAGTCTATAAAATTTGAGTATTTGCCTCTATTTACTTAGGATCCCCTGATCAGATTCCGACTAGGTGACAATGGAACTACCACGAAATTGCACCCTTTAAAACAAAAAGAAGAATTTTCAAAATCGGTCTACAATTGACGGAGAAATCGAAAGACATACATACTGCAAACGTGAAACATCCTCCTTCTTCTCCTCGGTTGTTTATCAAAATTATAATATAAATCAGCGAGGTTATTAGTATTTTATAAATAACCCTGTACTTATACAGGGTTATTTATAAAATACTAATAACCTCGCTGACATTACTTATAATGTTGGCATCATTAAGTATGGTACATTTTCCCTGTGCCATAAAACTTTGAGGGATGTAGCAACCCCGAAATGTTTTAAATGCCGGCGGGCATTTAAAATCCTTGTCAAAGTATAATTTATATTGATTTACTGAAGTAATATATATAGAAGTAGAAAAATGAAATGACATAAACGCCACTAAACATACCAATGCGCTGTTGTTTGTTCTATGTTGGAACAGGCGTACGAAAAAGTGAAAAAAATGGTAATATAGCAAATATAACATTCTATCTTTATTATATTATTTTAATTGAAAAGTAATTTAATATTTTTTTGAGCTCCATGTCTCGGTGTTTGAATATAAAGTTCAACAATCGAGCGAAATTAGTCTTGTCAAATAATTGGAATCGGTTTTGCACGGTAGTTTCCATTATATAATAAATTTTCCTCTCAAAAACTGTTTTTCGCCTGACCGCTTTACACAATTTCTCGTTAGACATTTTAATTAGATACTTGAAATAACACGAGCATGAGTCAACTGAATCGTCGAGAATAATGTTTATTTTTACGTAAAAATTTCATTGTATTCAAATAGTACATAGTTGAATGGCAACCAACAGTGATTACATTCTATTTCAGTTCTAGTTGTCCTATTAATCATTGCTAGAAAATACAAAAGTCTACTGATTTGGACGGCATCCAAATACTTTCAAATAATAAGCTATACAATGTCGCTTCATTGCCGGTATATCAGATTATATTAACACTCGACATTGCCTTATTCAACACAGTACATTAGCAACACGTCTTTAATAAATTCGGTGGTAAATTCATAGCGAGTAAATAAGTCTTGCGCACGCGCGAACTACAAACATTGTTTTAAAGCAAAGAAAACATTTTCTCTCCGTAACGTAAACATTAACTGCTGTAAAAAGTTTCTCTTCGCCACTTGACGTCAGCCAGTGCTGTAAAGAATCTGTACATTTCTTTGTATTGTATTCTAGAGGTTTATGAAAGACAATTTACAGAAACCATCTTTGTATACAGAAAACCTCACTAATAAAGTTTTTGATTAATTTTGCTTTAAATAGGCACTTCATTAAAGAACAACGTTTCCATAATCTTCAAATACAGAAATGTATTCTGAATTTCATATTTTGATATAAAATGTAAATCAATTTATTAAAAGTCAGTTTGTGGAAACCTGTTTTTCACGTATCCTTTTGTATGCGAGTACTTTTGATATTTTTTATGAACGTATTGTATAATGTATTTGACAGCGACTAAAAGAATAATTAAAAAAAAAATGTACGGCACCTTCCAAAAAATACCTCCGAACCATCGGAGTCGCTGCGAGGCAATATTAATTTGGGTAGCACCATTCCTTTTTTCCGCCTGCCTCGTATCCCGGGCGGCGAAGGCCACTGCAGCTCCGTTGTGGCCATCGGGCTGTGTGGACTTAAAATTGTCAATCGCCGCTCAGGTGGAGGCAGACTGAGTTGCTGCAACGCCCGTCGCTCCGTGCTCGCGAACAACCCTCTTTTCTTTTCAGCAGAATTACCCATATCTTCCCCAGATAACGCTCGTCTCGCAGGCGTACCTCTCGCTTCCCTAATATCTCTCTCGCTTGCTGTAAGGAAGGAACTGCGGTGCATGCGCACCGAAGTGCATGAGCTCGCGGGTCGTGCAGGGGATGCATCTTTACGTGGACGGAGACTTTCCATGGAACGAGCGGTCTCTACTCGAGCAGCTACCAAGTACTGACCGCTCGTTACTGTCGTTTGAGCAACCTCACATTCGTCCTGGCTTGAACTTGATGTACCACTTCGGGAAAATGTACTGGCTTTAGATACAAAACTTCTATCGCTGTACTGAGCTGTTGAAATGCTCGAGCAGGTATTCGCGTCATTAGACTCGGACGATGCCTGCTGACGGACAAAGCCCTCCTCTAACGACTGTACAACGCGAGCATTCAACGAGCCAAAAGTTGCCAGGTTGGGTCGTGTACGGTTCTTTCGTTCTTCCTCTTCCTCCTCCATTTTGCCTTACTTTTTAGATATCACCTTTATTAGCACATTTAAACACGCCACTATTCAATACACCAATATTTTATTGAAATGATTTATTGCATTTTACTTAAACGTAATTTATAGATAACATAACATAAGGAACACTGCACAGTCTTTATCACTTTCGAGACCACCACTTGCGCGTCGATTTTGGACACCTGTAACAAATTTAACGCGATTAGCTTTTCTTTACTAGTTACCCATCCGTAGATATTTCATGAAATCACACGATAATAACCACATTAGTGAAAATGTTAGGTCAGAGCTAGGATGGATAAGAGTTATGGGATAGGTAGGTAGACTGTGTAGTATATCGCTCAAACAATTAATGTTTTACAAATACTTGTGTTAGGACCTTTTTGGGGAAAATTGCATTATTTACATGTTTCAGTTGGCAGCTTTTGAGTCCAGTGCTAGCTGTCCAGCTTGGTTCGCGCTGTTCGTAAGTGCCTTCATCTGCTCTGCATTCAGACCCGTAGCTTTCACTCTGACGTCAGCACTTTTTGAGTGTTCTTTGCTTTCACTGCTAGATTCCACTCTCTTTGTAGATTCATTTCCGAATTCATCGATGAAAGTTTCTTCCTCGAATTCTTCTTCATAGCTCTCCTGGTAACTTTCGCGGAACTCTTGCTTGGCCTGTACAGTCACTTTCTCTGTAGTTTCCCTTTGTTCCATCACTTGGTCCATGGTCTTCTTGATAACCTGCTGACCAGCTTGCAACTGTGTGTTTTGCTGAGACATCGTGGTTTGTAGCAGATGTATCTGTCTATAAATACGTAAAAAGCCCTTTGTAACTTACTAATTCGATATATGTTAAAGTTAAAATAAGTTTCATTTTCTTGTATTAAGTCAGTAATAGTCAACACAATGCTATAATACAAATTATTTGGACTTTACAAAAGAATTCAGTATAAATACTACAACGGTACTTCATAAATTGCACAACAAGATGCATCAGTAAAATCCAAATTCCTGTTTCTATAGAAATTTATTGGCATTCAGCCAGGAGAAATGTTTGGGCCACTTTTATATTCATGTTTCACGAAAATCCAATGTGATGCGGATGGTGATACTGAGCCCTATTACTGATGACACATAATGTGTAATTTTACAACTATCGGGCACTTGGAATAGCCACAGCGCAAATTATGGGAGAGGAATTTCATCGTAGCGTCATTGGTGAATGTTCCAGAGGAATGCGGGAACAATAGCGCGTTCGCAAAGACAATAATAGAAATGGGGACTATAATAACGCATGAATACCTGAACGATGCTATGACCTACTTTCACATTGAACTTGGGTTTTACTTTAATCATTTCATTTGTTGTTCATGACGCTTGGAGTCAAAACTATTAATTTCTACTAAGACGGTTGTGAACAATTTATATAACTTTGAAAAAATATTAAAGTCTTCCACAAAAATTTAATTGCTTCCCGAAATCACAATGTACAATGGACTAAATAAATTAAAGATAAATTTTCAAAGAAGTAAGCACAAAATAATAAATACCTGAACAAAAAAATAGATGTCGTTGCACAATGTTGCACTTTTGAAAATAAATGTAATCCTTTTTTAACTGGAGGTGTTTCCAATTGGAAGATCGCGCGTGGACTGAACACAGGGGAGAAGGAACGCCGAGCTTTGTTTCAGCGGCGAGCTTTGCGTGGGCGGATCAGTAGGTACAAGTGCGCGCCGACACACGTTGCGTCTGCGCATCTCTATATCAACTTGGCCAGAATACAACCCGAGATTCGCAACATCTGTCTTGGCAAATTAACCAACTTTGTTTAATTAATTTTGACAATATGAACTATGTAGGTACTTATCATAAATAATACATGCGCAAGAAAATATCAGAAGAAATCAATCATTTCTTCATGTCACGCATATGATATGCATTTAGGTCAAATTGCATACGGGTGGCAATGTACGGTAAATGTTAAATAAATCTGTCTTTTTGAGGCGATGAATTGCGCCTGTTTTCAAAAGTCTCTCCTTGCCAATGTTCTGAAAATAGCCGTATGCGTCACGGAGCCAGTGGCGATGACTCCTCGAGACGATGGGGGCGATAAACATACGAAGCTAGATATGAATAATGATTGGCAAAGCGCCCTCTGACTCACGGTGCACTGATCGAATGTATGAAGATCTACGTGTTTCTCGAAAGTGCATCTTTTAAATCTGCGTAGGTCATTATTTTGGACTTTCGTCTAATAAAATGTTAAGAGTTCTGACGCATACCATCTCTCCCCACTAACTGATGTAATTGAACAATGTTATTGTAATCCTACTCAGCTTTCAGATGAGAACATTTTCCACTAATCGTCATATGTCTTACTTATATGCATGTATATAAGTCTTAATTATTAATAGAAGTTTTACACGAATTACGGTCGCCTCAAATTGCCGCTACTAAGTGGCGGGCAATGCAAATTAAACTTTACCTTTACGGGATAAGATTATATTTCTTTCAATTAAAAATTAATACTTCGAGAGTACTTTATAAAGTGCACATCATATAGAAAATATTATCTACATTATAAATTATACATTTCTTCTCAAAAGATCAAAGCCGTTGACACAGACAGTGCATAGTGTACATTAGCTTCTTAACAATAAGGTTCTTCGAAAGATAGACAGACAGCTTCTGAGGGACGTCGAGCTACGTAGTGCGAATTTTGGAAATAGCAAAGCAATGTATTTCCACTGTATAAAGTATTTCCTTGAACGCAAAATAAAAATCGCACTGAGACGTGTAGCGCAGCGCTACACGCGCGTGGCACCTTTACAACTCAAGATTTGAAGAGCTAAACCTAACAAATTGTTAACCTTGTAAAATATGTCTAGTGCTAGCTGCAACAACTAGTAGAGATTGGAACTATATTATCTGTAATAGTTGTCAGCTGTTACCTTTTTAGAGAGCGAAATAAATTTATACGGCACATTGCTATTCATTTTCACAAAGTTCCGGAGCAATCATGTAAATTGATTCAGCAGATTAAAATAAAATGTAACCAGTCAATAAAACCGCTTTAATAAAGTGAAAAAAAAGGTGATTGATAATACGTACCGAACAGAAAGTAAGAGTTTACTTTTCATAAATTGTTTTTCTAGTCCGTTGGACCCAAATCAATTTCAATTAAACTACCTTTATTCCTAGAATCTATTGTTTTATATAAAAGAAGTAAACCGTTTAGAAAAAGCTTTTAGTAACTTTTTTAAAGCTTACAACGTCTCAAACATTGTTATAGTTGATAGTGAAATAAATTAACGTTTGCCAATCACGATAGAGGACCTAAATCCGAAGTGTGAAGCATAAAGTCCTGTTGAGAGAGTACATTCTGTATTTCATTTTTGTATCACACAAGACAGTGAAAGCCGTATTTCTCGAGCTTACAGTAATAAAACGTGTTGCGTTTTTTATTCCCAACTTGTTATTTTTAGTGAATCTATTCATTCGTATAAATTATGTAGTCTAGTAAGCTTTATTTAGATTATTGTTTCTTGAAAAAAAAAAAAAAATTAAGCATTTTTTGGTGTACTAATTGTTATGAGAAAAAAATGTTTTAACCATTAGTGAATGATAAAAACTCATTAAGAACGAACAGAATATGCCCAATTGAAGGTACTTGTAGAGTTATAGTTGTACGTTTGAAACATGCCATGACTGTGATTATTATCTATTTAACACATTTTTTTATGATAGGTACTAAGAGACAGGACAAACAAGTTGTGCGCCTGACGGTAACCGACACGCCTGTCCATAGCAGTTGCAGTAAATGTATCATGCAGTCTATAATATACTATTTTTAATTATTTTCGGCCTATAAACTTCGAAGACAGGGTTGCGGCACGTAAGGTATTACGTGTCGTAATACCTTACGTGCCGGTGTCAATAATTTAAATTTGTAAAAGAAGGCCTGAAAGGCCTGAAGGCTAGTTGCTTTATTTTCTGATTTGGATTGGGACGTGTTACACTCTACTTTTATAAGTACTGTTATTTTTTCCTTATTTTTCAAAAATAGTTTTCAAAAAGTGACTTGACATACATACGGATATCACTATCTTGTTGTTTAAAGTTGGAACTCTGAAAACTTACGTACGTTACATCGTACTAACGCGACTAAAGATAAAAAAATGGTATATATACTCGTAGTACTTTATTTCCAAGATCAAATGAAAACAGATTAATAGCTGATGTTGTCTATGGAAGCCCGATAAAAAAGCCAGTTCCTAAGAAGACTGTGATAGACTAATTTGAAAACGCGGTGGGGTACGGTATTAGTTTTTTTTTGTTGAAAGATAGATAATGCGTTTTGAAGCAGTAGAGCTCTTTGTGAACGAGTTCGTGCAGAGAAGTACTGCCATCTTAACTATTTCTGCCGCCAAGCAGTAATGTGAGCGTTACTGCGTTCCGGTTTTGAAGGGTTTGGGTGCTGGTGAAATTACAGGGTGATGGGAATTGTCAACATATTTCAGGGTGCAATGGCAGAGCCCTCAAATCTTTATGATCTCTAAGTGGCACTCTAACTGTTATGGACAGATGTGCCGCTTACCAATAGATGCACTACTTGTTCGTCCAGTCGCTACGTATCATAAAAAAATACATAATGCGTTTGTCTTTTAAATGCACAATCTAGCCTTGAGTAGTAGAAAGTAGCGTAGCAATCTCATCAACGAGAATACTGTAATGTCAATTAAATATGAAACAACACTCGTCGATCTTTGGCATCTATATGCCATCGTCATCATCATTAATATTAATCTTTGCGTGTAGGTATCTTCGCATTCACTATCTGAAAGATTTACATAGACTATGAAAGATCTTTCGAAAATTATACCTTACTTCTAGTACGTAGTCGTATAATCGGAGCACGATTTATTTTGATATAACGAAGGTAATGAGTAAACGAGGGTTTACAGATAAATTGTAGATTGTAATATTAGTTACATTTACCCACCGGTACTCGGTCAAAACTGTGCACATAGTTTTGATCATTTTGTATATTTATAACTGTAATCTATTTCATTGCTTCTATTACACATTGCCGTAAATCAGTGTAATCATGAATGAAATTGTAAAATTATGACTCAGTTATTTAAGTCGACTTCAAATTCAAAAGTTATATCCAGTTTTGCATCAGTACGTAACTAAAAAAACTTATTTTACATAGATTGAGGCCAGACGAGCGTAAAAATTTTCAAATGTTAGTCGTATTTTTGTGTCGCTTAATTTACGCTTTGGTTTCATATTAAGAGCCCATACAACCTCGAATCGTCGCCTTACTTTCCCAAACTCGTATCTTATAAAGACTTATTTAGAAGATGGCAAAATTTTCTATTTGTTTTCAATTTCTTGTCAAGGGTGTTTGGTTGTATTACTTTAAGTATAGGTAAAAGCCAGTGTCTGCATATGAAGGAAATGTGAAATCTGCTGCAAAATTTGTGTATACAATCCATTTTTTGCATTTCAGTAACTTTGTGCTTTAAGATACGAGTTTGTGAAAGTAAGGCGACAAAATGTATTTGGTTGATTCCGCATAACAGTGAAAGTGTTGACTCAATCACATTGGAAAAAAATATATAGTAAAATTGATGATATACACTGATTACATTGAAAACACGATTCCAATAATTTTCAAGGTAGAAAAAAAAACACAAACTTTCCTCGACATTTTACAAGAAACCGCTGTATTCAATAAGTACTTTACATGCAACAATGATATTTTTTAAATAAACTGAACTAAATAGAACGCGTATACTATATACATAATACATATGCGATATACATTTTTGAAATAGCTTTAATTTTCTTTGTAAAAAAAAATAAATTCTGAAATAAAGCCAGTGTCTCCGCCGTTCAATCTAAGCAAAATGAACCTTATTAGTACGGGAAAAACTTAAAATAGAGCTGAGGTAGTATCGGCTCCTAAAATCCGGTTTGTGCCACATGACGACGCAAAATGAGTTGTCTTTGTCTGCCGATTCACGCACGCAATTACGATCGAACTTCGGTCACCCTGTGTGACGTGCTTGTTCAGTGGAGAGAGGGGTGAGGAAACATTTATTGACATGTGGTCTGCTCTCCGTATTATAAACAACGCATGTGAATTTTGGTAACTTTCGAGATATTGGCCTAAACATGTTTTTTTTCTTTTAAAAATGTAAATTTTGCTTAACTATAAAACTGAAACTAAGTAAGATACAAAAAAAAAACCCATTTATAGAGGGTTGTAGATCTTGTTCCGCTGATTCCGGAAATGATAATAACTCAGTTTCGTCTAAAATGACGATTACGTTATTTATGGTAAGGATAGAAGTGGTAGTATTTTACAAACTGATCTGCATAAACTTTCATACTGTATATGAAACTGTCCACACTCTAATCTTTTTTTATATGATGCTAAGTGACGGGACGAACCAATCGTGCGCCTGGTGAAGAGCGACACGCTTATCCATAACAGTTGTAGTGCCACTTAGAGCTTTAAATTGCAAAGATCTGAGGTGCGCTCCCATTGCGACCGTCACCGCGGAACACGGCAATGATGCTATTACTGCTTGGTGGTAGACATAGGTAAGGTTGCAGTACTTCCCTGGACGAACTTAGTTTAGTAGAGTTCCTTGTGAAAGAGTTCATTCAAAGAGTTATTCAACCTTATCCCTTCCTCTCCTTTCCATCAGCGGACCACCC